GAGCAGGGGAATGAATGAATGAGTGAGCAGGGGAATGAATGAATGAGTGAGCAGGGGAATGAATGAATGAGTGAGCAGGGGAATGAATGAATGAGCAGGGGAATGGATGAATGAGTCCGTGTGCACACGTACTGATGAGTTGAATGAATGGGTACAGGAGCAGATTCCAATGAATGAACGAATGAACAGGCAGGTTGAATGAATGTATGAGCGCTACACACATGGACAGTCTAGTGGAATTAATGGATGCACTGCGGAATGAATGAGCGAAGGAGCAGCTAAGTTGACTAAGTAGATGGTGAGTGGAATGAATGAGTCCGTGCCAGAATGAACAGGTGAATGAATGAATGAATGAATGAGCGCATGCGCACCTGGACCAGTGCGCTGAATGAGTGCTGGAGTAGGTTTCACTGAATGAATGAGCAGCTGAGTTGAATGAATGAATGGGTGGATGGATGGATGGGTGTGCGCATGCGCACCTGGACAGGAGAGCTGGGCTAGAGAAAGGATCCAGAGGCCAGTGGCCCAGGAAGGGTCCCTTGAGTGACAGTGTATTTCAACCCGGGTCACAAGACCCAAGAGGCAGGCCCTCCTGTAGGCCAGTGCGCCTGGCCGGCTCCAGGGACAGCGCATAGCCGGACCAAGCACCTTATTGCATCCACTTGGGGGACAGGCAGAAGCCCACGGGGCCAGGTGGCCCCTCACCATATGTCCTTGAAGCCTCGGGTTCCTGCGGGGACCAGGTTGACGGTTCAGGTGAAGGGCCCTTCGTAGGCAGGCCTAGGAGGGGTGCAGGTAGGTGTGGGCCTGAATCCTGTGCATGCACCCGGAGTGGAGCAGCCTCTCTGAGCTCTACACACCAGACACTGGGAGCAGAGGCCCCTCCCAATTGTCAGATCCAGAACCTTCTCCAGACACGGCCAAAACCCCTAGAGGTGACACCACACCAGCCACACCCCTCGGGGCTATGGGGAAACAGTGCCCAGAGGCTGGAGAGGCCTCTGGGTGGGAGGCCACCTGGCTGGATCCCTCTGCCAGGCCCAGCCGGTCTCTCCACTCACCCGACCCCCCAGAGCTCCTTGGACTTTGACTTCAGGTGTCTTTGTGCTGGGAACATGGAAGCTGGACATGTCCATCTCACTGAAGGTCAGCCCGGGAGGGAAACGGAAGGCGGGAAACTGGACAGAGGTTGGAGGCGCTGCGTCTGCAACACAAGCTTCTGTCCATGTGCTGCCATCCCCTGCCCCACACTCGCTCTCGTCCCTCTTGGGTCCCGTTTCCTCTCCAAGCAGAGCAAAAGCCTCTTTCGAAATGATACTGTGCCCAGTCAGCAGGGGACAGGCAGCCCCTTCGCTCCTGGGTGAAAGGGCAGGTGCCCCTGGAGACATGTCCTCAAGATGTCCTCACCTCGGGGATGATGACGTCACTGGAGAATCCCGGGGACCCTGATCTCACATCAAATGCAAGCCGAGAACACAGATGACAAATGGAAAAGCCATTTTACAAAAAGGGACCACCTATTTGATTGACAGTATGAGTTTGCCACCCGGAAGAATTTAGAAAAAAAAAAAAAGAAGAGTAAGTGTTTGTGACAAATATGCAAATTTCTGTGTGTCAGAGTCGCCACTTTGTATCAATCGTTCATCTGCCCATAAAAGTTGTTTCTAGCTATTGTTGATCTTTAAATTTTTTTCCCTGAGGATTAAACCCCCCTGAGCCCCGTCCCCAGCCCTATTTTGTATTTTATTTAGGGACATGGTCTCCCTGAGTTGCTTAGGGCCTCGCTTTGGCTGAGGCTGGCTTTGAACTCGCGATCCTCCTGCCTCAGCCTCCACAGCCGCTGGGATGTCAGGTGCCGGCCATCAAAAACCCTGAACTTTTTTTTTTTCTTGCTGTTTTCCTGGGCCAAATCGTGAACTGGATTGGTCTTCGGCATGAAAAAGGTTTATTTCTGCAAACAAGCAGAATACAGCGTGCTTTAATGAGTATTGGGTATCTCGATGATAAACGTTTTTTCAAAAAATGAAGATCCAATTCTCCCTCTTTGGGATGTCCAATGCTCGTCTGGGGGGGGGGGGGTGTACCTGGTGTGTTCTCTGATTGACAAGCTCAGAGAGACCGCAGGCTGCCCATGAATGTAGGGAAAAGAGTGGGGAAAAGAGTGGTGGAAATTCGAATTAAATCCACGCTGAAAAACCTCCTCTCACGCGGGTCAGAATGGTGCTCGTCAAGAACATCTATAATAATGAAGGGCGGAGAGTGTGGGGCGAGAAAAGAACACTTTACACCGTTGGTGGGGGCTGTAAATTAGATGACCCAGCTGGACCACTCCTCCCTATCACCTCGCTGCAATGATCCACGCACACCCAGGTTCAAAGCAGCCCAGTTCACAGCAGCCAAACTATGGAGCCAGCCTGGGGATCCATCAGTGGATGAATGGATAAAGAAAATGTGGTGTATATATATGCACAATGGAATATTACTCAGCCATGAAGAAGAATGGCATATGACATTTGCAGGAAAATGGGTGGAACTAGAGATCATCACACTGAGTGACTTTTACCCATCAGCGTGGACCAGGAAGAGGAGGGAAGGGAAGAACTGGGTTGTAATTTTGAGCAAATCATGTTGTATGCGTAGCCCACAGTGAAACCCGCTGTTCTGCTTAATTAATACACACCAGTTAAAAAGAAATTGTATTTTAATAATTTAAAATAATTCTTCAGATATATAATCTTAATAATTTAAAAATTATTTTAAAATGTTATTATTTTAATAATTTTTATTGTGTTTAGTATCATGTTTTGAGAAATCTTTACACGATTTTTAGGATTTTATCAGAGTTTTTAGGCTTCAAAAAACGGAGGTGGCTTGCCATTGGCCAGACCGAGTCACATGATCATGCCTGACTGCAAGGGATTCTGGGAAATGTAGTTCCTCCGTCAGCCCAGGAACCAGGCCCCATTGGTCAAGTTTCGCGGATTTAAAACTATTGAGAAGGAAAAACTGGGCCAAACAGCCTGGATTCTCTACTCTCCAGCGCTGTAGTTTTCTTCTGCGGTTTTGATTTCATGGTGTAGAGTTTCCAGCCATTTCTAAGAAATTCCCAACGTGTTTATTTATCTTTTTTTTTTTTTTTTTTGGAATGGAGTAATTAAAACTCAGAGAGGTTGTGAAACTTATAAAAGTTTGCACAGCTTCAAGAAACCTCCTTGTCCTCCTCCTCCTCTTCCTTCACTGCTTCCTGGTGCCCGGTCCTGAGCTGCTCTCCTCCTCCAGGCCCTTCCGCCATTTTGTTCTGCCTCCCCTTGGGCCAGAGCCATGGAGTCGGCCACCAGGGACTGGACCTCGGACACCAGGAGCCCCAGACAAACTCTTCCTCCTCTAACCTGTTTTGTTTCAGGTCTTTTGGTGACAGTGATGAAAAAGCTCACTCAAACCCCCCAACCCCAGATTGAGCCCCTGAAACAGTGAGTCCCTAAGAAATCCTTCTGACAAGTTGACTTACCTCGGGTGTTTTGTCACAGTCACGGCGATCTAACATATATCCCAATATCGTCACCCTCTGGTCCTGGGGCGGGGTTTGATCTTGTCACGGTCTGACCCGATTTTATATGTTCCTAAGTCCTTGATCCTCAACCCAGAAAGGGACTCATGAAGATGAAACTTAACACAGGGCAACCGTCAAAGCCAAGAGTTTCCTTTGGCATTTGTTTATTTGTCGATTGGAGAGTTGGAGGACGTGCTGAGGTTCACACTCAGGGCCCGGTGCCTGCAAAGTGCCCGCCCTGTCCCTGGGCCACCCCCAGCGACCACCGTTATGTGAAGGAATTAAAAGTGGTTTAGGACAGTCATGGGAATGGGCAGACATCCATCAAAAGTGTTTAGATTCCACCTCGGTGTGCGGGTAGGAATCTCAGGGTGGTTGTTTTTTTGGTACCAGGGATTGAACTCAGGGGCTCTTGACCCCTGAGGCCCGTCCCCAGCCCTATTTTGTATTTTATTGAGAGACAGGGTCTCCCTGAGACTCTTGGGTGGCCCACGCCTGTCATCCCAACTGTTGGGGAGGCTAAGGCAGGAGGATCACTAGTTCAAAGCCAGCCTCCACCAAAGGGAGGCCCTAAGCAATTCAGGGAGACCCTGTCTCTCAATAAAATGCAAAATAGGGCTGGGGACAGGGCTCAGGGGTCGAGGGACCCCAAGTTCAATCCCTGGTACCAAAAATAAAAGAGAAAAATGAGGAACGTGATTCTGAGACACGAGGGTTACAAGTTTTGGGTCCTTTTTCAAATCGAGGCTATTTCACCCCTCTCTGGAGACCTGCAGCCAAGGTGACAAGGTGAACCCCAGGGACTTGGGGGGGGGGTCCTCTGTACCAGTTCCAGCCTGCCATGACCTCCAGAATCTTTGGTTCTGATATTTGGGGCAAAGTGTAAAAACTTACGTCATTACAAACCTCTACTGAATCAAACTGGATCCCAAGGCTATTTTTTTTTTCGCCCTGTCCCTCAAAGTGTCCCTAAAAATAGAGCGAATGGCTCAGACCCTCTTTAGATGTTGAAGCATCTAGGAGGTTTCCCCTCCGTGAATAGACAAAGGTACAAACCAAGGGCGGAGGCTGAGGCAGGAGGCTGGCAAGTTGGAGGCCAGCCTCCACCACTCAGTGAGGCCCTAAGCAATTTAACAAGACTCTGCCTCAAAATTTTAAAACAACACTTTTTTTAAAAAAAAAAAAGGCTGGCAACATAGCTCAGTGGTAAAGCACCCCTGGATTGCATTCCCAGTATAAAAAAAAGGAAAAAAGAATTTTCTAGAAAAAAAAGTCTTGCAAGACCCATTTCCACGAGGTGATTTTAACACGCGGTGACTTTAGATTTTAAAACCTCAAATTCCATTTGGAGGGGACAGACAGGGGACGGAGGGCCCTGGAAATCCCTCCTGCCCCTTGCAGGGGGCGAAGGGGCAGTGTCAGTAATGAGGGCCGCAGCCTCCGTCCCCGAGACCCCTCTGCTCCCTGGCCTCTGCAGCCGGGCTCAGCCTCCGTCCCCCTCCGCCCCCCTCCGCCCCGTGAAGGCAGCAGCTGCGGGGTGGAGGCCACAGGTAGAGAATCCTTCTGGAGGCAGCTGGCCTCCTTCCGCAGGTGGGAATGCACTGAAATAGAAAAGGAGCTTTTCCGTGGGACGGTCCCCGGCGTCGTGGGGTCCTTGTGGGGACCTCGGGAAGACCTGGGCAGCTTCACACGGTCTCTGGATCTGGAAGGGAAGGGGCCAAAGGTCTCAGGTCGGAGCCGGGGAGGAAGCTGCATCCCTCATCCCAAATGCATTTGGGGAGGATTTCCGCGAAAGCTTTTTGAGTTCTAACTGGTATTTGTGTGAGCCTCTTTTTTTTTTTTTTTTTTTAATGCGGCCTCATCGGATCTGAAGCGCGGAGGGTAATTATTTTCTTCTTTTTTTTTCTTACTTTTTAGTACCGGGGACTGACCTCGGGGGCACTCAGACCCCCTGAGCCCCTGTCCCCAGCCTGAGAGACAGGGGCTCCCGGAGTGGCTCAGGGACTGTCAGTACCGCGTCTCGGCCAGCAGAGGGCGCGCGAGGCCAGGTTTTGGAGACCATCCCAAACTCCCTCCGGAGGGAGGCCGCCCGCGGAGGCCCGGGCAGACCTCCACCTGGGTGGTCTCCCATCCTCCCCCGGTTCTGGGTCCTGCCGTTGGAGGGTGTCTATGGCTCCCTGGGTCCCCAAGGGGCTAAGCCCTTGCAGTCTGTAAAAAGCGGCCACCAGGAAGCCTTCGCTTGCCGGCTTAAAGCAGCCCGTTCCACGAGAGGGACAAGAGAAGGAACTTACCACTGGCCCGAAAGCAATTCCTCCTCTGGTTGGACTTGAAGTAGCTGACCCCGGCCCCCACCAAGGCCACCACCACCACAGACACGATCGGGGACACGATTCTGGCCACCGTGTTGCCTGCAGGGTGGACAAAGAAAGTCTGCCTGAGGAGAAAAATATTGGTGAGCAGAACCGCGGCTAAAATGGGCGGCTCGGAGAAGGGCCTGGAGAGGCGCCTGGCGAACCGCGTCCTTCAGGGGACAGACACCCAGGGCCGCGCTCTGCACGCTGCGCTCCGGGGTCTGCAGCCCTTGATGGACAGGCTCCGGTTCAGCCGCAGGGCTGTGCCTCGGCACGCTATCGGGGCTGCCGAAGCCCCGGATGCTCAGCACAGTTCCTTTACAACCCAGCCCGGGGTCTGCTCAGAAGGGACCCCTGTCCTCCAGGGCACTTGAAACCACCTCTAGGTGACTTAGGGTGGCTGGAAGCCGTGGGGATACTGGTGACCCAGCTAAAGGACAATTTTCAATCCGTGCTTTGGTGGGCTCCATCTGTGGCTGTAGAACCCACAGACATGGAGGGACAGGGCAGAAAAGTGTCGCATAAGAGAAATTGTGTATATGTATATGTGTGTGTAATGATGTGATCGCATCCACATCACATGCATTGAATTATATGCGAACTGTATGAGTGACATGTGATAATTGACCATGTAAAATATAATATGCATAAATAATGTATGATCATATAATACATGTGATTACATAGCTTATTACATACGAGATATATATATATATCATAATATACTATGAAATATATGTTACCTAAGGTTGTGTATAAGATATAATAATCACATAATTATAGTAAATAATATGTAAAATATATTAAGTATACATAATCATCGCTTTGGTGGAGGCTGACTTTGAACTCGTGATCCTCCTACCTCAGCCTCCCGAGCTGCTGGGATGGCAGGCGTGCACCTCGGTGCCCCGCTGTGTGTATAGTTTTTTTTAAAAAAAAAACTAGAACATTCCTGCTAGGAGTTGTTTCCAAAACCAGGCTGATTCTCTCGTGCCCTGAAACAGAGACACCCTCCAAATATAGACGTCCTCCCTTCCTACAAAGTGTCCACGCACCGAGAACCGAGGTTGGGGACCTCTGTATACATACGCAGCCATATGTATGTGTGTACAGGAAGAGGAAAGGTGCGTATATGTCACTATGTCACTGTATTTGTATTTATCGACACTTGTCACTGTCTAGCTGTGTAGGTAGGTACATATATTGATTGATTGATTGATCGACTGATCAATAGATACATCGATCGATGAGAAGAAGGGGAAGCCTAGTTTGCATTTGGAGTCACCAGCGATGTCCCTGCAGACGGGCTCCGACAGCCCAGCCCAGGTCTGGGTGCGGGAGGTGACGGACATGGATGTCCCGTGTGGGCTGGAAGACTGTCACCTCACCATCTGTTTACCTTGCCTCTCGGGCCTCCCCAGAAGGACCGGCCTCCCTCCCTCCTTCGCCTGCCCAGGTCCACACCCCTGTGCAGGGCAGCCGGCTGCATTCCTGCTCCGGGGCGGGCTCTAGATGGGCCTCCCCTGGAGGCTGGGCTTTGGCAGAAGGGAGGCTGGGCTGGTCCTCAGCCGGGTGTGGCTTCTCTCTCCCGCGCCCTGCCCTGTTGGCGGCCATGGGAACGAGCCTCACCCCCGAGGGACGTGAGATCCCAGCGGAGGCAGAGACAGGAGGCCTCAGCTGCAGCCCCAGGTCTACAGGGAGACTCGGCCCCTCAACCAAGAGGGCGAGCAGCCTCCATCCAAGCACCACGGAGCAGGGAGGCCGGGTGGGCCTTAAACCACAACCATCAAATACCGCGATGGTAGCAAACAGTTGGGGGGGGGGTTTCTTTTGTTACGCAGCGCAGCTGACTGATACTCACCGCTTTCCTCTCTGCGCCCCTTAGACGTCATTCCGGTGCGGTCATTGCTACCAAGTGGCCCCCACCCACCCACCCACCCCGTGTGGGCTCCCTCTTTCCCATGAGTCACAGGACCCCAGGGGGTCAGCCTGGGCTGCAGGGGCTTCTCTGCCGATCTCGGCTCTCTCTGATTTGGGGGACACGAGGTGTCCACACCGGATTCCCAGGGTCAGGGGACAGAGATGGCCGAGACGTCGGGGCTATGATAAGGAATCAAGGGGTTCTCCTGAGATGCCACACCCGGCACCTGCTTCCCAGTCCACCTAAGATATGGCCACGCCGACGCCGTGGCCGCTGGGCATGGCCGGTCCCCGCCGTCCTCTCCCGTAGTGGACGGGACAGCCTCGGGGTTGGGCGCGCGGGTCGCGATCATCCTGGGTCTGCGCTCAAGCGGGTTGGGACCAGGTCCCTGGGAGGGCGGGGACCCTGCCCCCTGCTAGTTGGCCCTTTGGGCGCAGCGTCCTCTGTCCTGTGCCCTGAGATGGCCGATGGGGCATTTGAGGGCTTAGCTGGGGCAGAACGACCCTCCCCTCCCCTGACCCGCAGCTGTCTGTCCCGGGTGCTGAGTGACTGTCCCCTGCACAGGCGCCATGAGGACCCTCGGGCCAAGCCCGGGCTGCAAGGCGCGACAGCCCCGGGCTGTCCCCACCGCTGCTCCCTGTGAATGCCCGTGGGTGGCGCAGCCTGTGGACAGGGCACGTGAAAAGTGCAGTCAGGGGGGACAGGGGACGGCCACCAGGGTGGGCACAGCGCCCGTCTACACCGCGCCCGCCCACCCGGGTCCGAGGAGACGTGGCGGGCTCACCTTGTGGGTTGCCGTAGGTGGACTGTCCGTCTCCACCTGCAAACAGAACAGGACACGGTCACGCGCTCAGCTCCGCCCGCGCACGTCTGAGAGGCTCAGGGCGCAGGCGCGGGGCTGCCGAGGGTTTGCATCGCGCTCGGAAGCGGAGCGCACGGGCCACGGGGCCAGGTGGCCGGGCAGAGGGCAGGCGCAGGGACTTCGGGGTGGGCAGGGTCGCTCGGGTGTGCGACACACAGCGCAGGCACACACACACGCAGCGAGCTACACCAGTGTGCACGCACACCCACCACGGTACGTGGCACACGCAGACACACAGCAACGCGTGTGCCCGTCCACACACGGGCCCACACATCCGTGCCCACTGCACCCCCGAGGGCAGAACAGCCCTTACACACTCGATCAAGCGTGTGCAGACGTGTGGATCCACACACCTCCGTGTGCACAGAAAACACACGCAGGCACACGCGCTCACACACCTACACGCACGCACCATGGTAAGACGACTGCACACGTGCGCACCCCTCAGCTCCACGGTCACACACACGCGCACGCAAGAACACACGTGTGCAATTCACGTGCACACCGAGCACAAGCTAGAACAGAGTGCATGCACACGCACCTGCGTGCATGCGCGCAATCATGCACATCCTGCACAAGCACATTCGCGTGCCCAAACACACGCGTGTGAGCGCAAAGCGTGCTCACAGGTGCACACACACGTGCACCCGAGGGCCGCAAAAGCTCCCCTCAAGATGTTAAGGCCGCGTGCAAAACAGCTCCCGAGCATCGAGGTGCGTGAGCGCAGGGATCGCAGACCTGGGTGCGTTAGTGGCCCCGCGGGGGGGACAGGCAGGCCCCCTCCCATGCCAGGCCGGGGGTTAGTGGGGCGCGAGGACAGCGTCGCCCAGTGCGCCCCTTCCTTTACCATAGGAATTTCCATAACGAGGTTTGGGTCTGTAACCCCCTCTGCCTGCAGGACAGAAGGACCCGTGAGACGCCGGACTGGACCCGGGGAACCGCAGGGCGCAGGCCCCACACCCGAGCCCAGACCTGCCCAAGCCCCCCAGGGACTGGCTCCCGGGTACCCGGGGCCTCCAGGACCTGAGACCCTCTCCCTCTTCCGGAGGACACAGACAGCCCCGGCAGCGGTGAGGAGCCACCGGCCAGGACCCCGGTAAGTGAACAGCAGCGGAGGCCCGTCCAGGCGGCTCCCGGGCCTGTTCCCTGTGAGGCTCCAAAGGCCACTGGACCAGACACAGGGCCAGTCCCCGAGGGCTCCCGGCCAGGTTAGGACACACACGGACAGGACAGCGCCAGAGCTCACGGCTCCTGCAGCCCCAGAGGGCGGAGGCTGGACCAGGGTCCCCGGCTGAGCTCCCTCCAGGGCTCCAGGGGGCTCCTCCTGCCTCTCCAGCTCCTGGGCTCCAGGTGGCCCTGGGCGGGTGGCCCCTCACTGCAGTCTCTGCCTCCGTCTCCATGGGGCTCCTCCTCTAGGTCTGTGTCCCCTCCTCTGTCTCTGGGGAGGACACGGCCATAGCATGAGGGCCCCCTGACCCAGGAGGAGCCCATCTCAGGACCCTCCACTGACCACCTCTGCAGAGATCCTGTTCCCACACCTGGCCCCAGGACCTTGGGACGTGCTGTGTGGAGAGACAGGTCTTTGCAGAGGGGATGGAGGTGCAGTGAGGTCCCCAGGGTGGCCCTGTCCAGCAGGACTGGGGTCCCTGTAGAGGAGGAGATGAGGACACAGACGCACACAGAGGGACGGCCCTGGGAGGACACAGGGAGAAGACGGCGGCTGCGAGCCCAGGGGAGAGGCCTCGGGAGGAGCCCGCCCTGCCCACACAAGGTTGTGCCTACATCCACTGATAACACGGCCCACCTTTTGCATTATTGAAATGCCACAGGCTATTGACATATGCAGTCTGCTTTGGGCCTCCCTTTGGGTGGAGAGCGACGTTAGCAAGCAGAGCTCCAACGGCAGAAATACCCTCCCAAATACCGTGTCTCTCTCACACCCCAAGCTTCCCAGTCTCGTGGGACCAGAGTTACAAGAACCGAGCTCGGGCCAGGTGCACGCCTGTCATCCCAGCGGCTCGGGAGGCTGAGGCAGGAGGATCACGAGTTGGAGGCCAACCACCCAAGGAATTCCCATGTCACCGCATGGGCTCCTTTGGGTGACACTTCATCAGAGTCTCGCTCCCCATTAAACAAAGCCGTGGGTGCAGAGCCTGGGCTCCCGGGGGACAGGCGGGGTCCTCCCCAGCACAGACAGATGCTGAGTCCCTGGCCTCAGCCGAGGTGGCCCAGCTCACCCAGGACCCCATATACCAGGCCCAGGCGGACCCCAAGGGGAACCAGAAATTCCAGCATCTGGGTCCCCGCTGCCCAGCACCCACATGACGCACCGTCTGTGTGTCCGTAGCCACCATGTCCACCGCTGTATCCACCGCCGCCATCTCCTCCTGTCAGACAGAGAAGGAGGGACTTAGGGACAGCAGGCCGAGCCTGGCTCACGGGCAGTGGTGACCGACGGGTAGGATGGCCAAGGTGATCCCGCCAAAGTGACATCGTTCACGTGATACATCTCACGCCAGGACCAGCTGTGGAGACTCCCGGCTTCACCCAGCTGTATCTGCCACATTGAAACCACTATGGGTGCATGCTGCTACTGCAGAGAGACTTCCGAGGGACCGGCAGCCCCGGGCCAGAATGACCCGCATCAGAAGCACAGCCCCTCCGAGGATCCTGAGTGGGTCTGTGTGGACCGACCCCTTCCAAACGCAGAGAATTTGCCTTAGAAGTTCACCTAGAGACCTACAGAAAGATCTATTTCTGGCCAGGCACGGTGGCACCCGCCTGTCATTCCCCCCGGCTCTGGAGGCTGAGGCAGGAGGCTGGTGAGTTCAAAGCCAGCCTCAGCCATTTAGCGAGGCCCTCAGCCTATTTAGAGACCCTGTCTCTAAATAAAATGTAGAAAAGGGGCTGGGGGTGGGGTGATAAATTGTCCCTTACGGATTCCATCCCTAGTACAAAAAAAAAAAAAAAACCCCTATATATATGTAATTTCTTGTTACCTCTTTAGATATACTCATATGTGGGTACACACGTGGGAAAATGTAGACCTTTGCATAAAGATATTTGTGGATACCTAAAGTCACATCAAGAGATCTATGCATGTGACATTAAAGGGTACAAACATATAAATGTGTGCACACGTGTTAGAAAGGTGCATACCTGAGGGTAGACATGCTTTGTATCGGGCCATACAGACATTCATGCAAATGCACATAAAAAGGTACTCGCAGGGTCAAACAGGCATATATTTGCATATGATTATCATATGCAAATATCACATATATGTATGAATGTCTATGCAAATATCATACATACATGTACATATAAATATCATATGCAAACAGCATGCATATATTTACATATAAATATTATATGCAAATACCATGCATATATTTGCATATAAATACCATATGCAAATATCACACATACATGTACATATAAATATCATATGCAAACACCATGCATGTATTTACATATAAACATTATATGCAAATATCATGCATATATTTACATATAAATACCATGTGCGAATATCATGCGTATATTTGCATATGGATATTATATGCAAATATGATGTAAATGTGCATGAGCATATGATAGACACCTAAAGGTCCGTGCGCATATACAATGTACACACAGACACGATATATGTGTGCATAAGGGCAGCTCTGTGCATGCAGAATGCAGAAAGATTCACAGACCTAGACAGAAAGATGGTCTATATGCACAAAGTTCTATCCATTTGTATACAAATGGTCTATACAGACAGGCATATATTAACCGCCTTCTGTATAGCCACAGGGAGGTCATTTTACCTGAAAATGACCATGGTTTTCTTTTCCTTCCATCCTGGGCACTGCACCCAGGGGAGCTTAACCTCTGAGCCATACCCGCAGCCCCTTTTGAGTTTTTATTTTGAGACGGGGTCTCACTGAGTCGCTTAGAGCTTTGCTAAGTTGCTGAGGCCGGCCTCCAACTTGTGGTCCTCCAGCCTCAGCCTCCCGAGTCCCAGGGATGCACCTTGGTGCCTGGCGTGAGCACAGGTCTTGAGAGGTGGGTCGGTGCACAAGCCCCCGATGCAGGGATGGACAGACCCTGTTTGTGTCCTGCAGGGGTGACCTCCCTCCTCACGGGTTCTGTCCCCACCCTCCCTCTCTGGGCACACCTGAGGCTCAAAGCGGCTCTGCCCCTATGTACCTGCGGGCGGCCTGGGCCTGGGCGGGTAGCGTCCATCATCGTCGTTGTGATGGTACCCTGTGGGGCAGAGGCACAGCGTGAGGCCCATGTCCCGCCCACACACCCCTACCGGACCCACAGGCCGGGGGCCTTTGTTGGGGACAAGCCCTGTGCACGCAGCAGCTCTTTCCAGGGATCCCGCAGACACATCTGCTGGGTGTCCTGTGGGCAGACAGGGACACTGGCCAGCAGCCTGTAGGAACTGCGCTCTGCAAACACAGGGGCCTGCCTTGCTGTCACCTGTGCAAGGGTCCTGGGGCCCGTCCTGCTCAGAGTCTCCCATCAGGATGCTGTGCCCCCTCCCTGCCAGGCGCCACCCTCTCTCTCCTCCCGCCCCTGGTTGGCGGGGCCTCCAATGGCCGATGCAGCCCCCTGACCCTCACCTCGGCCCTGGAGGCGTCTCTGGCCTCAGCCCCTGCTCCCCACGACCCCAGACCCTTCTCCTCTTTCAGGTCCAAAATGACCTCCCTCTCCCACCCAGCAAGCCCAAGCCAGACCAGCTGTTTAGACGATCGGCCCCCAACACTGGGCTGAATGAACCTTTCTTCTTTATAAAGGCAGCCAGCCTGGGCTAATTCGTTATAGTAACAGAGAGCAACGTAGGAAGGGTTCAGAAAGAGGAGATGCTCCCGTTGAGAACCAGGAGGAAGGTCGCTCTTACTCCTTTGTTTCTTTAGTGCACACGTAAAATAAAAAGCCACTATATGCCACCACGTGACACGGGCAAAGCCAGACAGACCTATATGTCATGCATTCCCCGGGCGCTGGCCAGCGATTCAAGTAGCCCGCTGTGAAACTATCCCAGAGGGGAATTCACCAACGAGCGCCACTGCGTATGGAGTTTCAAGTGCTCCCGGATCAGTCGCCTCCGGAATCTGAACGGGACTCAAGGTCCTTACCTCCTCCGCTGTTATCGGAGCTCCCAGGCTGTGGGCGAGGCTGGGGTTTTGGCCTTGGGTAGATATCTGCAGGAAGAGAGCTCGGGGATTTCAGGGAAAGTGTGACATACTCACCCCGAGCGTGTGCGCACCCCAGGACCTTTGCACACCACCAGCTGCCCACCCCAGGACCTTTGCACACCACCAGCTGCCCACCCCAGGACCTTTGCATGGGGTGTTCTTTCGGTGGGAATCTCTCTGCCTGATGCCTCTGTGGCTCTGGCTGGGGTAAAGGACCTCTGGGTTTGTCAGTCACCACTGGAGTGACATTGCAGGCAGCGCAGCATACATTGGGGATGCTCTGGACACACCCTCTTGGATACCAGCCACGGGGGACTGCAAATTAATCGTGCAGCTCTGCACGCTAGATTCAAACCCCGGAACCGGAGCCAGGGAGCCGCCTTCCTGTGCGCGGAGGCAGGAATGGGAACATCCAGCTCTGAGTCACACAGGGCCCCGCCCGAGCTGGGACCTCCGCCAGGCCCTCGGGTTGGTGAGTCACTCCGGGAGGGGAAGGGCCAGCTTCCAGACCCCGTGGCTCTGACGGGTCCTGCGCAGGGAGAGCCCCAGGGCAAGTGGCCAGAGCTGGGAAGAAGAAGAACCGGCCCCGGGTGTTAGGGAAAGGAGCCGAACTTACTGCCTCCGCTGTCCGGGTTTGCAGGCTGGGGGCCGAAAGGGGGCCTGGGCTTGGGGTAGATATCTGTGGGAACAAGGGTGCAGGCTTAGAAGACCCCCCAAATCCTTCTATGACCCTTCTGCAGGACACACACCTCAGGCCGGGTGCCAAGGCCCACGCCTGTCTTCCCAGCGGCTCGGGAGGCTGAGGCAGGAGGATGGCAAGTTGGAGGCCAGCCTCAGCCATTTAGCAAGGCTCTGAGCAACTCAGGACCAGCCCATTTCCCAGCCCTGAGCCTGCTTCCTGGATTCTTGCCCTGTTTTCTTTGCCTTGAGGACGGTTCCCAAGTCCCCAGACACAGTCCACTCAAAGTCCCTTCCCGGCTGTCCACACACACGGCTCTCTCCTTCTCTCTCCTCCGTGAATTTATTTAATTTTTAATTTTTTTTTTGTGCTTCTGAGATGGGGCTCCCCAGGATGGGCCTGGCGCTCGGCAGGTGCCCCCCCAAGGGAGCTCCAAGCCCCGCCCCAGAGCCACCGGGTCCCTATTTAGGGCGTCCTGCCCGGGCTCCAAGTTCGGGTGACACTGGCCCTCTGTTTCCGCATTTCTTTATACAGTTGTTGAGCACAGTCCTGCTACGGTCTAGAGAGGTGACGTCCCCAAAGGTCACGGGTGAGACCAAGCCGGAAGGTTCAGAGGTGACATGACCACCTTACAGAGGTGTAGACTCATAGTGGATTAATCCACTTGGATGGACTCGCTGGGTGGTGACTGCAGCAGGTGGAGTGTGGCTGGAGGAGGGGGTCCCTGGTCTCGTTCGACAGTCCCCTACATCATTTTGGTCCTCGAAATACGCCCTCTGGGGCCCAAGGCAGGTGTCCCCAACTGTCGCTGGCTGAGTGACACAGTGGCCCCCAGGATTATTTGGCATCGTCCTTTTGACTGGCACTCTGAGCTGCCCAGGAGCTGATGGACCAGGACACGCACTGTCCCCAGGGCGGGAACCAGCCCTGTGTCCCCAAAGAGAACGCGATGCATCCGCCAATTGTCATTGAGACCGACCTGAGCGGCTCACTACCGCCCCCAGTGGTCGGCTCAGGAACTGCAGGGCGGGCAATGGTGACCCTTTTCTGGCGGGTTGGGGGGGGGGTACCAGGGGCTGAACCCAGGGACACTCGACCCCTGAGCCCCGTCCCCAGCCCTATTTTGCATTTTATTTAGAGACAAGGTCTCCCTGAGCTGCTAACAGCCTCCCTTTGGCTGAGGCTGGCTTTGAACTCGCCATCCTCCTGCCTCAGCCTCCCGAGCCTCTGGGATGACAGGTGTGGGCCCCTGGGCCTGCCCCTGGCCACCAGTCACCCATTTCCCATCTCTTTGGATGTCTCGATTCTGGCCACATTATATAAACGGGATCCTGGGCTCTGTGCCCTTTGGGGTCTGGCCTTTGTCACCGAGAAGCTGATGCTCATGTTGTGGCTGGTGTCGCGGCTTCATCCTTTTGCATGGTTCAGTAATATTCCAGGGTGCATGGGCCACCTTGTTCCTTTTTCATGGCCTAGTCATATTCCACAGCGTGGCCGGACTAGATCGTATGCATGCCTTCATCGTTTGATGGACGCCATGCCTTGGTCTCACCTTTTGGCTTTACCGAATCGTGCTTCTACGTACGCGGCCTGCAGGGTTCTCGACACCTGATACCATCTATTTCTAAAATCCTAACCCTCCTAGTGGACACGATGGAGCTTCCCACGGTGGCTTTTTTGATTTGCATTTGCCCGGTGACCAGCATTTGCTTGTGGCATCTACTGACCGGCCCCCCATCCCTCCCTCCCCTCGACACCCTACAACAGCCCTACAAAGCGTCTACACCCATCGCTGCCAAAGCCTCCGGCCCAGGGTGCGGCCCCCCGTGATGCCCCGAACGGCCACTCACCTGAGCCTGGCTTCGGGGTAGGTTCTGCGAACAAAGAGAGAAGACAGATTCAGTGAGCCTCCAAGATTTACCGGCGGCTCGGAGACAGGGCGTCCATGTCCTCGCTCAAAGGAAACCATGAAGAGAAACTGCAAAGCCGTGAGGAATGGGGACTGTCCACCAGCTGCCCAGGGGCTGTGTCGCTGCCCACAGATGGCCAGCAGGGACGACAGCACCCAGGATGCATCTGTGAAGCTTAGATAAAGCCACACTTGGAAGGAAAAGTAAGTCAAGAGACATTTTCAGCTTTCGAAACGGTGCGTCTCCTCACTCCTCTGACCCACTCACTGATTCACGTGGCAAACATCGGCTGGGTGCCCACTAGTACCAGAAGAGGTGCCGGTCCCTCTGGGCACCCAGATCACCCCACGGTGCACATGGGAACATCCGGAGCCTTGGGAGGTCAGGATTCTTGAAAGCGGGTATCAGGTAGGGAGTGCTCAAGGTGCAACCTTGCTCTGTGACTCAGGTGTGGGCGCAGGTGGGCGTGTGGGGGGCAGCAGGGGGTTGGAGTCTTCACAGAGCAGAGAAGATTGGACACACATCCCGGGTGTCCAATGGCCAGAGTTTTTTCAAGGACCCAAATGTCTACTTGGATGGACTAACTGTAGGCAGGTGGGGTGTGGCTGGAGGAGGGGGTCCCTGGGCTGTGCCTTTGGGGTCTCTGTCCTGTCCCTGGTGGGCAGAGCTCTCTCTGCTCCCTGGTGCCCTGTCCTGAGCTGCCCTCCTCCTCCAGGCCCTGCCGCCATCTTGTTCTGCTCCCCTTGGGCCAGAGCCATGGCGTCGGCCACCAGGGACTGGACCTCGGCCACCAGGAGCCTCAAATAAATTTTTCCTCTTCTAAGCTGGGGACTGGGCTCAGGGGTCCAGTGCCTCACCAAAGTCCCCAGGGTATCCCTGGACCACAGGCTCCGATCTAGCAAGACAAGGGTCGGAACCAATGGCCAAAGTGGACCTCTGCAGAGAGACTTCTAGAAGGGCGTCTGTGGGTCTCCCGAGGAGGCTGGCCTCCCTGGAGAGAACTCGAACCTCAGCCCCCAGGGATTCCCAGCTGACCCTAGAGCCCTGGCCCAGCGGGGACCAGGCCAATCCCCACTGAGAACACGGGCACTTACCTGGGTCATCCAGGGCGTCCGCCAGGTCAAAATCTCCCTGAGCTGTTGGAGCAGAGAGGGCACAAGTCACATGGGGAAGCAAAAGGTGACAGATGACAACTGCAGGGATCCCTGTGCTCCTGCCTGCATGGCCCGCCGGTCCCTCTGGGCACCAAGATCACCCCACCGTGCGGCACGCTGTAGGATCTGACTCCCTGGAGCTCAGGGGTCCTCCTGAGCCCCAATCTCTGTGGGTCGTGGTATCAGAGGGGGCCCTGCAGCCACCCTCCAGGACACCTAAGGGTGACCGTGTAAGGAATGATGGTGGGTGGTCAGGGACAGCCTGTCCAGTCCTGTTGGTGGCATTTCAAGAATCCCAGCCTCCTATCCGCCCCAGGACCTTGGCATCACTACCATGCCTATTTCCCAGGTGAGAAACCCGGGAGCACCAGGAGGGGAAGGGCAGGGCAGAGGCTGAGTCTGCACTTAGACTCGGGCCCAGTCACCAAGTCCCAACGGAGGCGGGGCCTGGGGAAACCCCAGGAGCCAGCCGGATACTGGGTGTCCCCAGCCACAAGTCCTCCCCACTCCCCAGGGTGCCCTGCTACAGGGGAAGGTCAGCGGCTCCAACCACCTCACGGGCTCTTCCCAGCCTCTCAGGTGCCCTCCTCGGTGCTCCCAAGGCCACACCCAGTGTCTCACATAGCCAGAGCCTCTGCCTTACTCCCTCCGTGGAGGCTGGCCTCTCTGAAAGGCTGTTTCCCAACAGCACTGGGGTGGAGGCTGGGTCTTATCAGAGAAGCCAGGAGGGCAGGGCTGGAGACTGTCCCCAGATATCACCAGCCCGCAGCAGGGACCTGTTTGCCCACGGAGGTGACTTCCAGAGACTTCCCTCCTGGAGCCCTTCTCTGTCCTCTCTTCTCTTTTCTTTATTGGGGAGGGGTATTGGGGACTGACCTCAGGGGCACCGGACCCCCGATCCCCGTCCCCAGCCCTATTTTATTGAGAGACAGGGTCTCCCTGAGCTGCTTAGGGCCTCCCATGGCTGAGGCTGGCTTTGACCTCGCGATCCTCCCGCCTCAGCCTCCCGAGCCTCTTCCCATATCCCATGGCCTCCTCCAGCTCTGACAGGCGGCCAGGGACCCCGTGGGTGGGCAGGACGCGGGAGGGGCCCCGGAGGAGGCCGAGCAAACTGGCCGGGCGAGGTTTTTGCCTGGTTTTGAGAGTCGCTTTCCAAGTAGGAGTGTCCCGGGGCAGCGTGACTCACGCACACGCGGGGAGGGCGTGGGTGCCGCCCGGGCCTCCCGGTTGGGCCTCCCAAAACCCAGGCATGGCGACAGCCCCTGTCCTGCGAGATGGGCGGGAATCTGCCCTGCGATGGGGGCGGGGAGCCCAGCCAAGGGTCCCCAGGAGTGGGGGGGGGGCGCTCAGGGCGCGGCCAGCCCGGGTGGTGGACATCGCGCGGGCATCTTGCTCTCAGGAGGCCACGGACATCAGAACGCGTGTCTCGGACTTGCTTTCTGGTGGCTTGCGCTGGGTGGCCTCTGAATCCAACCCTGCTGTGTTCTGGGACCCCTAGCCCCACCCCCCCAGGAGTTGGGGACAGCAGCCTGCGTGCTGTCCTGTGATTTCAGGCTGGTCCTCGGGGAAGGCCGGTGGAGACTCGCCCCTGCGCAGAGCAGCGCAGCATTTTTGCACGAGGTTCCCCGGGCCCCGCGCATGCGCACAGAGAGAAGTCATGCGGCGGATCCTGCAGGGGGCGCTGCGAATGCAGCTGCAGACATCCCCCGGCCTCGTCCTGCAACCAGACCCCGGCCCCGGCCGCATTGGGTGCAAAAGCATGCAACCTGCAAAGACCCTCGGATCCTGACTTCTGTCCACACCCCCCGCCGGTGACCCGTGCACACAGCCAGCAGCCCAGACCCCGCGGCTCGGCTCCACCCAGGGGAGAGAACAGGCCCCGGGCGGGGCTTGGAAATAAGGGGGAAAAATTAAAAATAATAATTTTATTTTTTAAACAAAAAGGGTTTCCAAAGCCCTGGCCGGGCGCAGCACCAACAGAATTTGCACACGAAGCCGCGCGGCATTGAATTCAAGTCTACCGAGGCCACCCGATGGCAAACACAGCTGGCTCCTCTATTGTGTGGTGCAAACCAGCGTCACCTCATCTGCAAAACATCTGCCTTTCCTAGTGACAGTTGGTTGGTGTTTTTTGGTACCAGGGATCGACCTCAGGGGCCCTCCACCCCTGAGCCCCCTCCGCAGCCCTATTTTTTTTGCATTTTATTTACAGACAGAGTCTCCCCGAGCTGCTGAGGGCCTCGCTCAGTTGCTAAGGCTGGCCTCCAAATTGTGAGCCTCCTGCCTCAGCCTCCGGAGTCGCCGACATTACATTACATTACACGGCACTCCCCACGATTTTTTTTTTAATTTTTTTTTTTCCTATAAAGAGGATTTTGAGCGGTTTCTCGGAAAGTGGTTGCACAATGGCTTTCTGAGTCTCTGGACCTTGAGGAACTCCCTGCAGCCCTTGCCCAGCACGTGGGAAGCCCCGGGGGGGGGGGTGGATTCTGAGCTCTGCAGACACAAAAAGAAACAAAGTAACCAACAAGGAAAGGCCACTGTGCCCTGGGCAGCCGCCCTCCCTCCCTGCATTTCTGTCCAGTGTCTGAGCACCTCAGACCCCACGGGTCTCCCAGGCTCCCTGCAGAATCAGCTCACCGTCTACTTTGCAGGGACGGTCACCAGAGACCCCCACCACAGCCACCGCATTGCACGGAGACCACGGCAGCCCCAGGCAGAGAACAGTTCTGCAAACACACCCGCCCGGTACCGACTGCCCTGCCTCCTCCTCCACCCTCGCAGCCCACAATTAGTATTTCAGTAGATATTATGCACCTCATGCATACACCACCCACCTGCCGTAGAGCCTGGGGACGTCCCCAGCACCACAACCAGGCTGTTCACACTGCCAGCCTCCAACCTGGGAGCTCAACAACCCTCTTTTCTTAATAAAAATTCCCTGCCTCAGGTATTTTGTGAGGGAAATGGACGAAGGAATACAGAAAGCACTCGGAGAACTCATGTCACCCTGCTGGCCACCAGAAAGACCCTTTTCAAGGGCAAATGAACAAGGCCCTGGAAATATTCATTTATGCACCTGTCAAACGGCCAGTCAGCCGACGTCCCCATCCATTTCCAACGAACCCCGGTGGCTAGATAAAGCAAGTGACTCCTAATGATTGTTGGTGGCCATCTCTGGACCTTCTACAAGTGGACCGTGACCCCCAAACGGAAGCAAGAACGTCTAGATTTAACAGTCCTATAGTCTCAGGCCAAATGCACGGGAGGTGACATCTACAGGTGGCATGGCGGTGTGTAAGTGTCTCCCTTGAGGTTTCTGGGCTCTGGACACCAGAACCAGCCCTGGGCATCTCCTCCGCCCATTCACAACCAGCTAATGACACCCTGTCTTCAAACAGGACAGACAAGAAAGGCCGGTGTCTGGAGGAAGCCTGTCCCTTCCTGACCGACCCTTCTGCCTCTCCCACTCCCCTCTGTCCATCATGCCCTGGAAGGACCCTCGGGGTCCCACGAACCTTCCCGATGCGGTTCCACCCTACAGTTCCGAGGTCCCTGCGCAACGCGATGCCCCATCCCCGAGCCTGGGAGGCGGGCGGAGCGTCTTGGCGGTTCTTTAGTAAACTTTGGCGTCAACTCTTTGCAGGACTCGGACCTGCGGGAACCCAGGCTCGCGGGGGCGCCCGGTGCTCACCTGGGGCGCGCGGCAGCAGACACAGGAGCAGCACCAGGCCGGGCAGCCCCCGCCGGGTCTCCATGGCTGGCTGAGGTCCCCGGGAGCGTCCGTCCCACGTCGTCCCACGTCGCAGCTGGTCTCCTCCGGCCGCCCCGCCCTGCCCTGTTGACGGCGATGTCCCCGCCTGGGCGGGCAGCGAGCGCTGTGTCCAAGTGGAAAATAGGAAACCAGCCGCGCGCGCGCGCGCTGCGCTCCCCGTGCCAGGAAACCCCGACTGCGCTCGAGCCCGGATTCCACCGAGCCCAGGACGAGTGCTCACACGCTCGCCCAGGGCCAGCTGCTCCCAACTGTCCCAGCCAATGGCACCAGCGCAGGCCCTGGGGCGACCTGGGCGGGGCCACATGCCAATCATTCAGCATCCGCGGCTCCTGGACGCCACCGCTGCCCCCGCGCACCTGCTCAGCCACGGGGACCGGACTCGTGCACCCTGGAGCGCGCAGGTGCTTGGCTGAGACCCCTCTGTCACTGGGGTCCTGCACAGAGGGTCAGGGCGTGGCCGCTGCAATCCAGGATCCAGGATCCCAGGGACTTCCAAGAATCCCCCTCCTCTCCCTGGAGCCCCCAATGATCTTGGTGAGCAGCAGAACCCATAGTCAGAAGGGGCGAGGGATCCTACAGTGGCCCTCTCTCTGTCTGTCACCTGAGACCGGGACACTATCATGGGGATCCTGAGAGACCGGATCTGATAACCAAGATGGCTCCTGACCGAGTACCGGGAGGGTAGCAGATACAGCGTGGATACGCGGGGCTAAGAGGGGATCTCACGCAGGAACAACGGGACCCGATGTCTTCACGTGACACAGACTAGCTCGGGTTTGAAGCTTCGTAAATGATTGATTTCTGGAATTTTCCATCTGGTAGTTTGGGGTCGTGCTCGACTGCCCATGATTCGAATTTTAGAATGTGAAACCGTGGATGAGGGGGCCCCCCCGTGTTTCAGAGAAGAGGCTGGCAGAGCTCAGCTCCGGGCACAGCAAATTAATGATGGAGGAGATGGGTCCCTGGGGGGGTGTGATTCCGATACGTAAAAATTAAACACTGCTGGGTGCAGTGGTGCACGCCTGTCATCCCCGTGGCTCGGGAGGCTGAGGCAGGAGGACTGCAAGTTGGAGGCCAGCCTCAACAACTTAGTGAGGTGCTAGGCAACGCCGTGAGACCCTGTCTCAAAATAAAATATTAAAAAATAAATACATTTTAAAAGGCTGGGGATGTGGCTTCGTGGTTAAGCACCCCTGGGTTCAATCCCTAGAACCAAAATGAATTAAAGAGTAAAGACTAGGCAAGAAAATTTCAAAAAGACTAACGGGATGTGTTTAGTTCCATCAGATATTAAAAGAGTTAATCTGTGATAATTAAAATCATGTAGTTTTATCTCCTTTGTGGATGAAATGATCCGTGAGGGCAGAGAAATTATAGCAAAATCTTTGCCCCAGTGCAGTGGCCGAAGTCTGTTGCATTTCAAATCTGTAAAGGGGAAAATAGATTGTTCACTAAATGGTTTAGTGTGTATGAAATTATCCTATAAGGAGGAAAAAAAATCACACTTGGTACAGAGGAATCTCTTCTCTCCACTAAATATAAAGAGTGGGATCAAGAAAATAGCCTTTAAAGATTTAAAAGACTCAGAGTTAAGTAAAAAAAAAAAAAATAACGTCTGCTAATCCATGTTGCAACCCAAGGGTGCTATCTTTAATATGTAAAGAGTTCCTACAAATCAATAAGAAAAGAAACTGATGACGTACACAAATGAACAAAGGGATTATTCGGTTTCCAGGAACGGTGTGCAAATTGCTTTTTGTACATCCAACCTCCTTCCTAAGACACGTGTGAGAATGTGAGCCAGCTGATTTGATCTTGTTTTCCACCAAAGCCCTGGTGGAACTTTCATTCAAAAGTTCTCAGATCTGCAAATCTCCTGCGTGCCTGTAGGAAGATTTGGCAATGGGCGTAAACAGGCTGCAGAACCCTTTTAGCCTCACAAAGGCTGTCCTTCATGACAACGTGCCCACTGAAACGGGGTCCCTGTCATGTACTTCCAGAGGCATTCACGGCCGTAGGTGCTCAGTGGGACATTCTTGGCGACAGCTTAATGTCATTGCAACCAAAGTTCTGACTGTTGGAAAGAATGACAGGGACCGTCTCTCTGCTCACCAACAGCCTCTGGTATGTAGAAAAAGTTCTGTGCAGGGCACAGAGGAGCATCTGGATGCAGGGGGTATCTGGGTACAGGGGAGTACCTGGGTGCAGAACAGCATCTGGGTACAGAGGAGTATCTGGATGCAAGGGAGTCTCAGGATGCAGGGGAGTATCTGGATGCTGGGGAGTATCTGGAGAGAGCAGTATCTGGGTGCAGGGTAGTATCAGGGTACAGAGGAGTATCTGAATGTGAGGGGTATCTGGATGTGGGGGAGTATCTGGATGCTGAGGAGTTTCTGGGTGCAGGGGAGCATCTGGATGCAGGGATTATCTGGGTGCAGGAGAGTATCTGAGTGCAGGGGAGTATCTGGATGGAGGGGAATATCTGGATACAGGGGAGTATATGGGTGCAGGGGAGCATCTGGGCATAGGCGAGTATCTGGGTTCAGGGAAGCATCTGGGTGCAGAGGAGCATCTGGGTGCAGGGTAGTATCAGGGTACAGAGGAGTATCTGGATGTGGGGAGTATCTGGATGCTGAGGAGTATCTGGGTGCAGGAGAGCATCTGGATGTAGTGGAGTATCTGGATGCAGAGATTATATGGGTGCAGGGGAGTATCTGGATATAGGGGAATATCTGGGTGCGAGTGATTATCTGGTTTCAGGGGAGTATCTTGCTGCAGGGGAGCATCTGGGCACAGGCGAGTATCTGGGTACAGGGGATTATGGAGGTGCAGGGGAGTATCTGAATGCAGGGGAGTATCAGGATGCAGAGGAGCATCTGGGTGCAGGGGAGCAACTGGGTGCAGGGGAGCATCGGGGCCTAAGTGAGTATCTGGGTGCAGGGGAGTACCTGGGTGCAGAGGTCCATCAGGACTGACGGGTCATAAATCCGAGGGGTCGTGGCAAAGACGGACAGAAAGGTTCAAATGCCCAGAGGCTGGGCCACGTGACTGCTCCCTGTCCCGGAGGAAGGGGCTCCTAGGCCCGTCCCTGGGAGGGGTGCCCGTGGGGGAGGGGCAGAGCCCTTACCCGTGGGGACCGGCCGTGCGCACCCCCAGATGCAGGCGGTTCCTGAGCAAAGGCCTAGGACCCAGGAGGACGGCCCCACCCGCGGTCCCCCACATCAGGGGACAGTGCGCTGTCCACACAGGTGTCGGACCGGCCACCAGGGCTGCCGGCAGGGAGCTGCCGTGAACCCCAGCTGCCCGGCGCGCAGCGGCTCCTGAGGCCCTGCCGGGGGACAGCAAGGCCCTCCCCACGGGGTGCCTTCTCTGGGCGGCCAGCCAGGGCTCTCGTTCACTCCCCCGGGCCGCTGGCCACCCCGAGTGGACAGGCTCGTGTTCTGGAGGGAGAAGTCGGAAGCCGAGGCTGCCCGGCTGCAGCTGGAGTCCACCGGAGCCCGTCCCTGGGGGCCTGGGCGTGGGCAGCGCCCAAGGTGAGGAGCTGCTGCCCCCCACACACACACTACGGGGGAAAGTCGGCTGTCACCGCAGGGAAGGGACCGTTTCCAGTGACCGCGGCTCCCCCAGGAGGACACTCCCGGCCACCACAGGGAGGAGCTGCTCCCCCGTGTTCAGCCAGACCCCACGTCCACGGGGCCCAACCCCTGGTACCAGGCTCCAGAAATGGTGAGCAAACACCCACGTTCCACCCACAGGACACACCGCCGCTCGGGGGGGACATCTGGGGGCCGGGGAGTATCTGGACAGGAAAGGATCCCAATGCGGAGGAGGGTCTGGATGGCAGGAGCACCTGGGAGCAGGAGTATCTGGGTGCAGAAGTGTCCCGGCGCACAAGAAGCATCTGGAGGAAGGCAGAGCCTCTGTTTAGAGGAGCATCTGAATGGAGGGGAGCACCTGGGTGCCAGGGCCGACCTATATTCAGAGAAGTAGCTGGGTGCTGGGGAGTGTCTGGCTGCCTGGGAGTATCCGGCTGCAGGGGAGTATCTGACTGGGAGCGAGCGCAGGGGAGTACCTGGTTGCTGGGAGCATCTGGGTGCGGGGGAGTATCTGGCGTCTTGGGAGTATCTGCTGCGGAGCATGCGCGTGCAGGGAACTGTCTGGCTGCCCGAGCATCTGGGTGCAGGGGAGCATCCGCGCCCTTGTGGAAGAGGAGGCCCCTTCCCACGGCCCCCAGCGGGAACCCACCGCGGCAAACCCCGGCGCAGAAAGCCGCTTGGTTTCCAATTTTGTTTTATTAATTGGAAAAAAAAATCCTAAAAAATCAAAACAAAAGAAAACAGCCGGATATCCTAAGGCATCGGAGGGACGCGAGGACACTGGGGTCAGCTCCACTCGGGAGGCGTCGGGCGTCGCCTGGGTCCAGGTACTGGGCATTGGCCCAGGGCTTGCGCGTCCAGGCATCTGTCGGGGCCGGTGTCCGACCACAGGTCCTGGTGGCCTTTCCCATCCCCCGGAGCCCCGGGGTCAAGGTGAGACAAGTCCCCGCGGGTTCGTCCTGCTGGTCACCCGGCGTGCTGGTCACCTCAGGTCTGGGACAGGGAGTCCTTCAGTGGACACGGGGCGGCGGCTCCCCGAGCGCGCGGTGGCCTCTGCGCTGGCCAGCTGGTCTTGCAAAGTGTCACTGGGCAGGTGTCACTCAGCGACAGACCTGGGACTGGGCTCTTCCCGCCCAGCGGCCTCTACTTCTCCAAAAGTGTGCGCTGCACTGGGTGGACAGAGGACAGGGCGTCACTCCCCAGTGCCCGGTGCATGTGGGGACACCCTTCCTAGAGGACCCGGGAGGACCGGGCACCTCAATCCAACACACATAGTAAAAAGTCACTCCGTGAGCCCCACGGGTGACGGATGGGACCCCAGGAAAGGGACACCAGGGGTGCTTGACCACTAAGCCCTGTCCCCAGCCCTTTTTATTTTTTTATTTTGAGTCGGGGTCTCGCTGAGTTGCTTAGCACCTGAGTTGCGGAGGCTGGCCTCCAACTTGCCGTCCTCCTGCCTCAGCCTCCAGAGAGGCTAGGATTACAGGGGTGCACCCCCGCGACACCCAGCCAAGTTCTCCTTCTTAGACTTGGAAGCCGGCCTCCCTACCTGCCCT